GCGTAAGCGGCTGCCTTGCAAGCAGGCAGTCGTGAGTTCGGTCCCTGGTTCTGATAAAAATGAAAAAGACCAAAAAAACCCAAACAAACAAAAAAACCCCCACCAATATATATCAGAATTTAAAAACTTCAAAAGTTAAATGACAGGATATAGGAAAAAGTTAGATATAGAGAATAGGTGAGATCCACACCATGTTGGAACCTAGGACCCTGGGAAGCCAAGCCAGCACCTCCCCTCCCTGGTAAGCGGAGGCAGGGTGGCACACTGCAGCCCTTCCAGGGGGAGAACCAGCAGCGGCTCCTGAGATCCACGCCATGTTGGAGCTTAGGACTCTGGGAAGCCAAGCCAGCACCTCCCCTCCCTGGTAAGTGGCGGTAGTGTGGCCCACTGCAGCCCTTCCAGGGGGAGAACCAGCAGTGCCTCCTGAGATCCACGCCATGTTGGAACTGAGGACGCTGTGAAAACAAAATGACCATTCTGCCTCCCTGCTTAGCAATAGTGAACCTACTGCTACATGGCCTAGAGTCAAATATCCCACTTCCCCTATCCTCCTTCTCCTCCTCCTCCCTGCCCATTAGCAAGTGGGAACCAGAAATCTGAGCATCTCTTGGGAAATTGACCATAGCAAATAAGGGGGACTTCCTTCTACCATCTCTTTGAAGGCAAATATTTTTATTACTGTTTTGCTCTTTTCTGATTAATGGTACTGCTCTATTCAATATTCTGTTTTGATAAGTTCTATATTTCATCTCATTTTGATATACAGGATTGAAAGAACAACTATTATAAAGATAACAAAATATACTGTGATACCTATTACTGTTATCCCGGTAACCTGCTGTGAAGTTCTGTACCAATTTCACTGTACGATCTTAGTTGGCTTTATTCTGACTTGTTCTGTTGTATACTTTCAAAATAAAAATTAAAAAAAAAAGAATAGGTGAAACACTTAAATAAGAAATAGGTAAAGAAAGAATATTAAAGCATTTAATAGAAAGTAACAAATCATTTAAAATGGGCAAAGAATAACCAGTATAGGGATAATAGGGTTCCCTGAAAGAGAAAACAGAAGCAAAGGAACAGGAAAAAAACTATAATTTAAAAAAGGTTTCCTGAAATTTTTTTAAGACACAAGTAGATATTAAAAGAACATACTGAACACCTGAGAACTCCACCCCCCAGTGAACAGCACCAAGACATATCTGAACCTGAACAAAAAGGGCAAGTGATTTATGAGGGGAAGAACATAAATTGCCATCGGATTTCCTGGCAGCAGCAATTCATGGCCAAAGAAAATGGAGCAGCGTGTCCGAGGTATTAAAGCCGGGAAACTGAAAGTTTAGCAGAAACTTCCAAGTTTCCAAAGCCCAGCAGGGGAAAAAGAAAACCTAAAAAACAAAAAACAGTAATAACAAGCTAGCATCCAAATATTCTTGAAATACTACATCCCATTAGAAGAAACCAGGCTTCTCTGTCTAGGGCAGGAAGTTTCCAAAATGAGCCTGGACCCGACCAGAAAGTAAGGAGGCTATTAAAGATCACTACAGTCGGGTCAGAAGGGTTTGAAAGCCAGCTACAAGGTGCTGTCTCTCACTGGCTGACAATGGCTGGCTTGCTGAGCACGGTGGCCTGTGCCTGTAATCCCAGCACTTGGGAGAGGCCAGCCTGGGCTACACAGTGAGGTCAGGGCCAGCCTCAACTACATAGCGGGACACATATGTGTCTCAAAAAAATAAAATAAAATAAACATATATGAGGGAGGCTCACTGAAGCTGGAGACTTCTGATTTTCATCCTGGGATATAAAGAAGTGATTGTTTTGTCCTACCAAGTATGAAGCCGAACAATTGGAAAAATCAACAACTCTTCTATGCTCCAGGAGAGAAGACAGCACAGAGTCAGCTGGTGTCCCCATGATTGGAGAGACCAATGGTGAAGACAGAATCAGCGCTTGTCAAGCCAGAGCAGGAAATCGGGAGGAGAAGCCATCATGGGAAGCAGTGCCTAGGAAGGGAAGGTTGATGTGTAACCGGTGAATCACTGCAGGCCATGGTGGACAGCTGCACAGAGAAAGATGCCATGGGAACCCATCATGGGGTGGGGTGGCGGGGGTGAGGTCAGCAGATTGGCCTCCTAGAGCTCTACTGCGTTCCCACAGCGAGTGTCTGAGAACACCCTCTCCTGCTTCCCGAAGGGAGAGGGAAGACAGAGCCACGATAAAATATGCAGAACAGTCCTTCTTCTTAGTGAGTTCTGCCTTCAGGAGAGCTCTGCAGGAGCCTCACCAGCCTGGAGGGAGGGAATAGCTAGCTAACTCTGACTCCTGAAGCCTTCTGTGTGCGGGAGGGGAACAGCCAACTCTCCCGTCCACCTCCCCAAATCGTCCTGTTCCACCCAAGGTGACCAGAACCAAACAAAAAACTTAACAGCCCCCAGGATTCCAGGACTCCGAAGCCCTGAAGTCTCATGACAGCCTATGGGACACTTTCTCTCCTCTTAACAGCTTCCTCCTAGATCACTAAAGGCCTATTTTATTCAGCACATTTTTGTCTTCCTAAAAAAAATTACAATGCATATTAACAGGCAAAGCATAGCGATCTGAAGAGACGAAGCGGGTGTCAGTACAAAGACAGCCTTCTCTGGTGGATATGAGGTAATACATGCTATAGTAGCTGCAAAGAATGCTGGCACTAAATAAATGCCCAATTCTGTAAGCCTCAAATCATATTCTTAACCTTTGCACTTTTTTTTTAGCTGAATGAAAACATAAATGAATGCTAGAAAAATGACATAGTCTGCATGTTGTAGGGTCAAAAAGGTAGCAGGCCAGAAATTGGGTACAGAAAAATAAGTAACAAAGGTAAAACATCAAGTGTAGTTCATAATTAAATATATTTTAGAGCTAGAACAAAAATAGGTATAATCTTTTAAACATGTCACTGAGGAGGATGCTGATACATCAGCGTAAAATGTGTGATGCGAGAAATTAGTCTCTACAGGCCTCAAATCGCGAGTGGACACTTTTAGTTATGTCGTGGGATGTATTGAATAGGTTGCTTGTCTTAAATACAAAATCAAAGTCATGATGCAGAGTTACTAAGAAGGTGGAGAGCTGTGTAAATTAAGAATGAAGGTGCTGGGTGTGGTCGTGCAGCTGTAATCCCAGCACTCAGAAGTCGAGGCAGGAGGACCAGTGTGAGTCCAAGGCCAGCCTGGGCTACATAGTGAACTCAAGGCCGGTTTGAACTACACGGTGAGAACCTTCTCAAAAAAAATAAGAAGCCATTTGTGGATTCGAATGCAGGGCAGCTGTGGCTAAGAGGTAATTATTTCCTGAAGTACCCAGATAACGGGTAGGTGAGGCCCTTTGCCAGCCACCACCCAGTCAGACAATCCAGAACAGCAGAGGCCTTGTTTCCCTTTTCAATCCCTCTAGACTCTGAGGCCTCCAGGGACAAAAAGGGAATGGCCAAGTATTTCTTGAAGTACGCAGGTATTTCTTAAAGAGTGGTTCATCTGTCTAATAAGATGCTCTGTGTCTCCAGGATGAGACTGAAAAGGACAGATCATTTCCACAGGAGTCCAGCCAAAGCCATAATGGGGGATGCACTCTAAAAGGCCTGGCTGGTATTTGTTATAGGATGTCAGCGTCAAGAAGAGGGGCAGCAGACCGGCAGGCCAAGGGGCCGTTCCGGGCTGAAGGAAGCGAAGGGGATGCTGTTCTGAAGGTGATGTGTGATCCTGGATTGGAGCCTTTACAGAGTGGGGAAAAAAATTGCTGTAAAAGGCATCATTGGGACAATTGATAACATTGGAATATAAATGGTACATTAGATAAGAATATTTCATCAATACTAAATTTCCTGAATTTAATAGCTGACTAGTGACTATTTAGAGAAAATATCTTTATTTTTAAGAAATATACACTAAAGTTTTTAAGAGATATAGAGGGATGATATACAATGTTCTCAAAGAGACAAATAGAGAAAAAGGGATTCATAAAGCAAATGCAACAAACTATTTACTCAAATAAAAAGAGATAAATAGCCTGGGGATTTAGCTCAGCAGGCATAAGTGCCTGCCTGGCAAGCGCAAGGTCTTGAGTTCGATTCCCGGTACCAAAAAAAAAAAAAAAAAAAAAAAAAGAGAGAGAGACAAATAGAGAAAAAGGAAATAAAAAGGCAAATATAACACACTATTAAAAACTAATAACTTTCTGGGGATTTAGCTCAGCGGCATAAGCACCTGCCTTGCAAGCAGGTGGTCATGAGTTCGATCCCCAGTACAGATAAAAAAAAAAAGACTAAAAAAATCCTAATAACTCTTGGTAAAGCATATATAAAACTTTTTTGTGCATTTTTGTGTGTCTATGAGTTTACATTGCTAGAGATTGAGTTCTGTACTATTTTTGCAACTTTTTGGTAAATTTGAAATTATATTAAAAGTTAGCATTAATATTAAAAAGTGCCCATGGATTGCCTGAATCAGAATGCTGTCATACATTATTTACTGAAGATGTTAGATTTATGGGACCTACCACTAATTATTGAATGAAAAAAGAAATTCTTTGAGTCAAGCCTAAAAATTTTCATTTAAAAATTACTCTGGTAAATATTATGCATACTAAAGTCTGAAAACCACCAAGGTGGGCTTCAAATAATGCTTTAATCTCATTTCATTAGCTACTTCACTTTCCTAGTTTAATCAAGCAAATGCTTTGAAGTCTATTATGAACAGACTATTTTAAATAAAACACATGCTTGTGTCATGTAGTATGCAATGTACCTATATCTGTAAAATTTGGTTTTCACAATAATTTTTATGAGTTACTATAATTATACTCCTTAAAGATAAGCAAATGGGAGATTACCTGAATTGCCAAGGTCACGTAGCTATTAAAGGACAGAGTCCGGCTTTGACTCCAAGGCCAATCTGCTGCCAGGGCCGCCCCTGCTCCATGCTATTGAATCGAGCTAGGAAACCACAGGTTAATGTTATTTGCTTTGGCTCCCATAAACTGACGGGGTCATTTATCACTTACAAAAGCAGACGTTAGCTACCTGTTCAGGAAGACGCAGTGGTGCAGCTAATGCAGTGAGCGTTATCAGGAAGCCAGGGAACTGCCCCTGCCACTCTCCTTCCTTGTGACAAAGCTGTGACCCTGTAACTAAGGTAAGTCTGCAGCCTGTGTTTTCCTCCTGAGCTTCACTGGGATTTTCCCAGCACAGATCTCCAGATCATCTTCAGCCTGCAGGGGCCAAGCACGATGATGTCAGCCTCCCCATCACCAATGATCGACCTGCCCTTAGCATGGGGAGGGTTTCCTCAGAGAGGCGGGAAATCAGAACACTAAAGTAGAAATGGGATTATCTGCCATACTATTACGGAGATGTCTAAACTAAAACAGGAAGAGTGGGCGAAGTCCAAGGGAACAGCTCAGCCAGCGGGACCACCCTGCAAGAGGAGATGGAAGAGAGTCCACAGAAGCCAGCCGCTCACAGCACTCAGACAGTAGCCCTGTGAGGCAACTCAGACAGGCGTCCACCTCAATGCTGACCGGAGACAGCTGAGCTTAGAAACCAGCATTCCGATTCCAGAGGCCAAACTCGACGTTAAACCATATCCACTCCCAGAGGAAAGAGATCAGTGCCGGCAGCTTGCTGGAATCTTGGTCTCATGTATGTATGTATGTATTTATTTATGTATTGTCTTTTTGAGACAGGGTCTCACTATGCAGTTCAGGCTGACCTTGAGCTCACTTTGTAGCCCAGGCTGGTCTCAAACTCACAATGATCCTCCTGCCTCAGCCTTCCACCGAGTGCTGGGATTACAGGTGTGAGCCACCATGCGCGGCTGGACTTATGTATTTATGCAGATTGATCAGTGCAACACTTTAAGTAAAAAAAAAAATCAAAGTGTGTTTCCACTGAACCCAATTGAAATCTAAAGAATTAATAATGATTTTTGTTGATTCATCTTCTGTGTGTGTGTGTGTGTGTGTGTGTGTGTGTGTGTTACTGCAATCAAATCCAGGGCCTCATCTGTGCGAAATATGTACACTGAGTTATATCCTCAGTTCTGAGATTCATCTTTTCTAATGAGAAAAGTGAAAGGTCAGGAAAAGCAATCACCATCTGGAAAGGAATGAAGAACTGTTCCAGATCAGCCCCACCACAGGGCATTGTTAAAATTCTTAAGAACACTAGGGTTGAAGGTGTGGTTTTTCGATTTTGTTTTTTGTTTTTTCCACAGTGCTGGGAATTGAACCCAGGACCTTCCACATGCTTGGTGAGCATTCTATCACTGTTGTAACCCCAGCTCAACGTGATTTTATATGGATCAGTAACTCCTCCTATAGGGGGTTGGGATGGTGACTCCTGGCTTCTTAAAGTGATCCATACCCTACTCCCTAAGGATTACACTTGACGGTATGGTTGCATTTGTTTTGCCTTCTGTCCAGAGAACTGGCCCACAGCAAGAGGTGTGTGTATCCTCCAAGGCCACATGGAGTATTATTGGCTACCAAGGAAGTTCCAATGGAATATTATTGATCACCAAGGAAGTTCCATTACATTCTACAACATGGATGAATCCTGAAAACCTACTAAAAGATATCAAATACAAAAATCTATATATTATGTGTCCATTTATATGAAATGTCCAGAAAGGGCACATCTATAGTCAGAAAATAGAATATCAGTTTCCTAGGGCCAGGGAATTTGAGGGGAATGATCATTAATAGATAATGATTTCTTTTTTTTTTTTTTTTGGTACTGGGGATTGAACTCACAACCTTGTGCTTGCCAGGCAGGTACTGTGCAGCTGAGCCAAATCTCCAACCTCTGATACATGATTCCTTAATGGGTTGATGAAAATGTCCTAAAACTGATTTCAGTGGTAGTTGTACAACTCTGTTAATCCACCCAATGCATTGTATACTTTAAATGGGTGAATTATGTGGTATTTCTCTCAAGAAAGCTGATATATAACTATATATTTATACATACTTCTTCATAGCACCATCTATGTTTAGCTATATGTTTACATGACTAAATATACACACACAGAGAATATTCGGGTCTATGTCTTTTCCTCCTTCACTCTCAGTTGCTAGGTACTGCTCACTGTTTAGAAATTTGATGGTTTTAAAATAGCAACATGAATTGAGAAATTCCTGGTAACTTTTTGCTTTATGAGTCTTAAGACTTCTTTAGTTGATTAAAAGCATAGAACGGCGGCTGCAGATAGTGTTAGACTTGCAGAAGAGAAGGATTTCAGGTGAGGACTTAGTATGACACTAGGGCTAGGAAGACACATGCCAATAAGCCATCATAAGTTCAAAATGTCAGCTAGGTGAAAACTGCATCTGACACACCTAAACTCCCAACAGCATAGCTCTGGCCACCTCGGGCCCTGTTGCCCTTGTGGTCTTGTGGCCGATCAGCCCCCAAGGCTTTGCAGTGCTGCGGGCATCACAGGAACACGTCCTACTGCAGATCATCGGTGTAGGAAGAGACCCAGGTTCAAAACTGGAAGTGTGGGTTCTCCTGACTGCAGAGCGCATTGCTTCTGTGCCACCATTCTGTCAGAAAAGTGTGAACTAAGCACTATAATTCATGAACACCTGTAAGCAAGACAGCATACTTGAGAAGGGGAGCTGTGATGGGATTTCTGATGACACATGTGGAGGTCACATGGATTGTATTACGTTTCCATACAGAGCTGTGTGGGTTTTTTTTTAAAATCTAAATCCAACAGACCCAAAATAGGTGTGGCAACAAAAATGCATTCAGGGCCCAGCCTAGTTTTGCTAGGCAGGTAGAACATAAAGGCCAAAGGGAGGGCAAGTTGCATTGGATAGAGAACTGACAAAAGTGACAGTGAGAAAAGCCCAAAGGACAGAGGGCAGAGGAGGAAGCAAGAGATGGGAGGGTCCAAGGCAGCAGAAGCAAGGAACCAGAGCTGGAAGAACAGGAATCTGTGGTCAGAGGCTGGGGTGGTGGAGCCCGTGATCCCGTCACGGAAGAAGCCGTGGGTGCTGAGGTCCAAGATAACCCTAATATTGGGGTGCTCCTGGGTGGGTGCCACGTAATCTCCAAATCTACTTCCTTGGAGCGTGTAGGTGTTTTGATAGAATGAATTAATCTCAGAGATGGTTACCTTTAAAATGTGAAGAGAAACATATTTACCCCTACCCACAGGCATTTAATGGCCAAATCACCTAAACATATCCTAGTCACAATCCAGGGATTCTCAGAATTATTTCCTAACATCATAGTTAGTATGCACTGAATGAAATCAGTTAGTTCAATTACAAATCGTTAAGTGCTATAGGGTATCATAGAGCTCTTTCAGAATAAAATTTAAGATTTTAAGATATGCTAATTATTTTCCAAAGAAAACTCATACTTATGAATGCACAAATACACCAAAAGAACTGGCAGGCTTCTCAAAGCCTTTACATATAATTAGAGAAAAACAAACCAGAAAAACGATCACACATGAACCTTGATTCTGTAAGCTTTTTCACTGTCATTGGCCTGGCTCACAAGTCTAACCTCTTATTTTTAAAGCCACCAATTAGTTTTATGGTGCAAAAAAAGAGGACTGAAATTCAAAGGTTATATAGATCATTTGTTTACACCTACGAGAAAGGTGGAACGTCTTGCGAAAGTGTTAAAACTACCCCAAACCACAATGAGAATCAGAAGGAAACAATGCTTTCCTGAACTATCTGTAGCACATGAGTTTCTATGTATGGCAGAGCAAGTGATAGTGGAAAATGTTTCCAGGAGCAGAGATCTTAACAATGAAACCTAGATAGGAACTTACGGAAACCACCAAGGGACTTTCTAAAGGAACAAAAGTCAGTTAGAGCATATCCAACTGCAAGAGCTCTTGACTTTCTCTGTGAGGATCTGTTTAGAGTCAGGAACATTTGTTACACTACAGAGAAGGTTGTATTACCTTGGAAAACATTGATCTGAGGTGGTTTAAATGGCGCTGGTTAAAAGGCAGCAGTTAAAGAACAATGCTTTATTTCTCTGTAGACCTTAATTTTTGAAAATTGAGGTCTGATTAGATAGTTTATACTTCGGCCAAGGCAGCAACCCCTTTGATCTGCCCTCCTGTTTCAGTGCTCAAAATACTACAGAGCAGAACTCTGGGATTTGAATCTATATTTCACCTTTATACTTCAGCAAATCCACGTGATTTTGGAAGTAGCATTTTCTACTTCTACCAGCTCCTGACAATTTGACCTCCTAAATTTCTCTCAAATCCATCCTCGGTCCTCAGTTCTGTGGTTATCATCTCAACACAAGCCACTGTCCTCTCCGTTGTCGCGTACCTGCATACTCCTGAAACCTCCTAGCCCGCGCCAGCAGTCTCTCTCCTGCCTTCCCACACTTAACCTTCTGCACAGCAGCCAGAGTGTAGCCTTCATCGGGGAAAAGTTAGCTCCTATAACTCCTGGGACAGCCTGCTTCCTCAGTAACACGAGGCCTTCCCAGTTTTAGCACTGAAAGATCTGCCACCTGTCCCAAGTGAACTGGCATCGTGGGCCACCCAGGATCCACCTCCAGGCCTGGCAGCAGCTCCCGGCTATCTAGGGAATGAAACCCCAGTCTGCAGGCTTCACATGGCCATTTCTTGCCCATCTCTCCGGCCCCAGGCAAGTCAGGCTCCCCTGGGCTCACCGCTCACCGCTCACAGGCTGTGGCTTCCTTGCAGGAACTCACTGTGCTATTTTTTCTCAAGGTCTTTGCTCTTCTTTTCCCTGTGCGGAATGTACTTGCTGCTTCCTTTCACTTAGTTATCACAGGTTTGGCCTTCAAATCCTAGCTTACTCTTGTACCCTAGGTTAGAGCCCCTGACACAATCTCGAAGAACATTCCGTTCCTCTCCTTCCGGGTACTCGCTGTAGGCTATCATCATCATCATCATCATCATCAGGAGTTTAATACCTGGCTTCCACACAAGACCATAAACTCTTGAGTAGAAGAAGCATGCACGTTTTTTCTTATTGTGGACTTCATTCCCAGAATGTACCTGGCATGCACACAGGGCTCAATAAATATCTACTTTGGTTCTCTGCTAATGCTATAAGCCAGGTTTGAGGTTTCTAAAACCCCTCCTGCTTCTGATCTCTTCGCTTCCCAAACCATGATGTCCACAGCTGCCGTGTCAATCTTTTAAATGTAAATGCCCCTGCAATTTCCACAGCTACTCCTGTGTTCCAAATTGGCCTGCTGATCCACCCCACAGACAGTTAGAAAGGGTTATTTATTAAGATGCACTGTGCACTAGCACTGTGCTAAATAATTATAAATTTAATAGCACTTGCTTTTCACAGCTACCCTTGAGGAACATCCTCCCTATTTCACTTTGGCTAGGAGACAAAGGCTAAGGGAGATTAGATAGTTTGATGCCTTTGGGTCACAGGGTTTGTAAGAGATGGAGCCAGGGTGATATCTGTGTCAGTCAGCTTTCTGTCACTGGAGCAGATGCCCAAAATAAGTCAACTCATAAAATAAAAAAAGTTTATCCTTGCTCATGGTTCTGGAGATCTTGTCAATGACTAGACAAATCCTATCAATTTGGATCTCTGGCAGTGCTGTGTGGTGGGACAGTGTGGTGGGATAGACCCATTTATCCATAGCCAAGATGCTATAGAGAAGAAGAGGAAGGGGCTAAGGTCCGGGTGTCCCCTCCAAGGACAAACCCCAGTGACCTAACTTCCTCTTCTTAGGGGCTACCTCTCAATAGCAGAACTGGCTGGGAACCAAACATTTAACACACAGCCTTTAGGGGACACTTATCCAAAGCAAAGTGGTACCTGACTGTATACCATCCCACATTTTTTAAAGTGCATTTTATTCTAATCATGTTTGCTTGTGCGTGGCAGCGAAACCCAAAATATAGTAATAGTAGCTTAAGAAAGTCACATCTCATTCATGGTCTCTGTCATGTTAGAGGTTATAGAAAGCAGTCCAGGGTCACATGGCCTGGTCACTTTAGTTTGTGATTTCCCTTTCCTTAGGTCCAAAATGACTGCCTGAACCCCAGTTATCCTCATCACTATTTAGTTTACAAGAAGGGAGAGATGCAAAGAAGGGTGTGCCCCCACCCTTTTTAAAGAGAAGTCATAGTTGACATTTCTGTTTATGTCTCACCAGAAGGAACACAGTCATGGGATCACACCGCCTACAAAAGAGCCTGGGAAATGTTATCTATGTTTTCATCAGTTATGGGCCCAAGTCAAAAAACAAAACAACCTCTTACAAGGGGGGAAAAAAAAAACCCAGAACAGCTATGAGGGGAAACAATTAGCATCTGTTAAACCCATGCAGAGCAAGTTCTGCTTCCTGCTTTTGAAATGATTGATAATTTAGTTTCATTCTACGTCACCTGTTTGTTTTCTGCTCTGGCTTGCTTTGAACTCTCACCACAGTGGGCCGTTCACCTCTCCATCTCACAGACTCATGCAGTCCATTTTCAGTTTGACTCTGTGCACTGCCTTTCCTGGGAAGGCAGTGACTTCCCTGCCAGTCTAGCTAAAGCCCACTCACACCTTCTTGATCAGCTCACTGTCACTTCCTCCATCCAGCAGCCCTGGCTCTTCCAGCCACTGGCTGTGGCTGCAAACACCAAAGGCTCACGTAACATTGGGGCATTTCATCATCATCTAAAAGTCTCCTTTATATTAGCTTTCTTTCCCCTAACAGAACGGGAAAAGGGGTCTGGGTACACAGTAAAGGCCTAATAAATACTAGTTGATCGGTGCACACAAGAGCTTTATTTACCTACCCTGACACTTCCCTAGACCTCTGGCTAATTCAGGGGTTTCCATTAATGCAAGTTAGTTACACAGCAGAACTGTAGTTCCTCTCCCACAAAAATACATTTATCTAACAAATATTCATTGAGCACATGTTAGAGTCCCCCATAAAAGAAAGCCTGCTCTTGGCTTTCTCTTGGTTCTGATTTTGGAAACAATATGATGTTGTTTGCTGAACTGTGCTCCTCAGAGTTTAACGCACATACAGGTCACCCTGAGATCTTACCAGGTTAT